ATTAAGAAAGAAAAAATGTGAATGGGACAATTTAAATTTGCACACATGACTACATGAAGCATGCTATTAATTTACAGGTATGTAGGAGGATTGAGGCTTACATGTCAGAAGGAATGTAGAAGGTTGCATATTTATATGACCAACTGTATTTTACATGTTCCATGGCTCTTCCAAGAACGCAAGCAGCAATGCAATGCAGTAACAGCGATAGAACCTACAAAAACAATAGGCAAATGGAAATGCAATCAAAGTTAGAACACAAATCCAACCAGGAATTAAATAAACTCGCACAGTTAGAGCCAACAAATCCAAGTATCGGAGGTAATTAATCCACGGCGCTGATTTTGTGTCATTCCAAAACGACGCTCGCTTCCGACTCCGTGCCGGTTTCTCCGACCGGGAGCCTGGCCAAGGAGGGGACGACGCTCGCTTACGACTCCGACCCGGTTCTCTGACCGAGAGGTTTAGCCAAGTAGGGGATGACGCTCGCTTTCGACTCCGACCCGGTTCTCCGACCGAGAGGCCTGGCCAAGTAGGGGACGGCGCTCGCTTTCGACTCCGACACGGTTCTCCGACCGGGAATACACCGAACCTCGTGGAATGACTCTGCTCACGCAGAAGCTAGTTTACCCAGTGATGGATCACACATCCTTATAAAAAGAATTGTTACGTGGTGCACTGATGTCATCCACAAGTCACATTTCATTCTGCACTGAATCAATGGATGCACGTAGCACCATTAACTTATTCAACAAAACGAATCAAGCTAAATTGGAAAAATAAAAAGAAACAGAATCATGACTTAAAGACTATCGGCACGTCACTCATGGTCACCTAGATTGGGAACGCCTGATGCCTTCATCTCCAGTTGCACCTTTTCCTGTATCTATGCGAAAGGAATCCTTTTCAGTTCAATGTTTAATCAGTCTGAAAGAAAAGATGATATATGTTTAATCAGTCTGAGAAATAGAATAAGTATATATTGACAATGAACCTTCCCTATATCAGAGTAGGAATGATAGCATAGTTTGTCATAGACTAAATGCAGGTTACCAACATATTTTGAAACCAGCTTCTAATTGCAGTAGTGCTGTTCTTTCAAAAAAACATGCAGTAACGCACTTGTTTTGCTATTAAGAAAAAAAAACATATCTGTGTTGCAAAATAGTAACAGTCGACATCAAGTTCTTATATAGAGAAGAATAAATGTCGCAGCAATTCAACTCCCTGCTTGGATTTATGCAATTTATGAAGCAAAAATTGAGACCCTAATCTCATTAGAAGGTTTTGCAACCAGAGGCATCATAAACGGTTTACTAACTCAGAATTTTGAAATCCATTCTTAGTGAGTATTTATTTACAACTTCAGATTTCTTTGCACATGCATATTACCTTAGATGCTTAATTTATGTTTTAAACCACATAGGAACCTCTGATTAATCAATATATGGCACACACATCTAAATCCACCTTATATGTGAACATGGCAATGCAGTGGAGGAAATGCAGGAAAAAGGATAGATGGTCTCTAACTGAAGTAATGATCATGGACAGAAAAAAAAACCTTCCAGTTTGAAACTTTGAATACAATAAATAAGATTTCAGATGAGTTGTTACCGGCGAGCGCATAGAGGAGGCTAGAGCAGCAGCTCCTAGACCTGCGAGGTCCACTGCCTCCTTTCCACCCTTCTGATCTGATTGGAAGCAGCAGTAGCAGCAACAGAGCCGAACACAGTCTGTTTTCAACAATCCTGAAAGAGTGAAAAAATGAACTTTCAAAAACCTAGAAAACTGAACATCACTTCAGCTTGCTGGATTTTGTTGCTACTCTGCAATGCAGTTTAGAATCATGAGAAGAGCCTTAAAACAAATAGAATTGCAAGTGAATCATGCATAGGCATACATGGGTTCCCCAAATTTTATATTGCTATAGCATCTTTGGTGGCATTCTCAAGTTTCTTCTCAAAATAGAATTTCTACAAGAACTGAGCGCAGCATACCTGTGTCGTCATGCCAACCTGTTGTTGAAAAATTGCCACATGAGTGATCTAGAGGTGTAAGGTAGAAACCAAAGTGGATCCTGTCAATATTTTAAAGAATGCTTACAACTGAGGAGTATGTGAAAATAGCAAGAGAACTCTTTCTACCAGTTGGAAAAAGCTTCATTCCCTGAAAGTAGATAGGGAAAAAAGGTCAGGTAAGCAGCAACTTAAGTTTCCTATTGAACAGGCCAAATGTTAAGATTGATGTGGAAAGGCTGCATACAATTGGTATAAAATAACTTGAATTACATAGCATCAAGCTAAGGAAAGATTAGACTTCGTGACAGTAGCTAGTGGCACACATCATTGCCAATCAACTACAGTAATACTGTCATCTGAAAACAAAAAAAAAAAAACAGAGGAGGTACAAATCCCTATTGACACTGAGGAAGCCTTTTGCCAAAGGTATATATTGTAATTGTAATAGTTTAAGTATATTGCTGATTGAGGATTTTTCCAATGCAAATTCGCATATAATCTTCAAATATTCCATAATCCAAATGGTAGTTTCAAATAAGACAGTAAGTGAGCTCGATCGAACCATTACAAGAATGGCACCAACCAGCATTACCAATACCAACCTTCAGCTGAAGTGTTCAACTACTACTATATAGAGCAGATTGAAGAGGATTATAAATTACCTGAAAGAGTATAATCAGTATCAAAAGGAAAATGCCGATCGTCATTGCTCCACCATAGTAGAACACTACAGACTCAATGTGTGTGCCACCACCATGAGCACCAACCCTAGGATAGGACAAAGAACACCACCCTGTGGAGCAAGAACTCTGCATACACAACTACAAAAGACTCCTGCATGACTGAAATTTTGCAGTACAGAAAACAAGGCAGTGATCAAATGATGTCACCTTGGCTTAGTAGCTTTGTTGCATATGGGCAGCACCTGAATGAAAGGCACAAATTATTCCAGTTTGGATGGTTCCTCCTCCGAAATTTAGACGCCTCATCCGAAACTCAAAACTTGAAGTAAATATATTTGATACTTCTATATACTAACCGATATATTTCTTTATTAGGATTTAAGCACAAGTATTTTTTGCTCAAGCGCTGCAACTGATCCTGCTACTATGTTTGATGTTTCCCCTCCAAATCGACCCTCAAGCCACAGTTAACAACTTTGATCAAATGGAAAAAATAGATAGTAGATCAATACTGATGTTTCTGATTTTTTAACACGGTTTCTTGGATTTTTCATTGACTATTAGGAGTCGACAACGTTCCTTGTGACCTCAGATCAAGCCACAAATCAAAACTAAAAGAAAAAAATAATGGTTAACGTCAGATCTTAGTGCTTACTGCTACACAATTGAGGATGAATTCACAATTGAGGCAGGAAAGGAGAGAAATCACACTGTGGTACCACAGGTCTTACTGCCTACTACTACACAAATGAGAAAGGGAATTCCGAATATAAACCTTCAGTATCAGCAGCATATCATGTCAAAGTTCAGGTCATTGATGTCAGCTTTTTCATCGTGCTTTGCTTTGGAGAACCCCTGAATGTGATGGCAAAGCTAAGCTCACAAGCAAAACTATATCTAAGTGGAGGACTGATGAACCAGAGTAGCAATTTCAGAAATAGGTGCTCAAACAATGCGGAGGACTTACCGCTGTGCGATGGGCTAGGGCGGGTGCCGGGGTCAGCGTCGCGGCCAACGTCTTCACCGTCCGCGGCGGGGGCACGGTCGCAGCGGGGAGGAGGAGGCCGCGTGCCGGATCGGCGGGGGCGGCTGGGGCGACGAGGAGGGGTCCGGGTGCCGGGGTTGTCAGCGTCGCGGCCGACGTCGTCGGCGTGGGGGCCGCTTCGCAGCAGGGAGGAGGACTGGAGGAGGCTGGGTGCCAGGGTCGGCGGGGGCGGGGGCTGGGGCATCGTGGAGGAGGAGGTCATGCGCCGGGGTCAGCGTCACGGGGCGAGGTCATGGAGCCGAGGTTCGTGCGTCGGTTGCGGGGACGAAACGTGCAGCTTGGGGCGCGGAATTGACCGATGCGAGGAAGGCCTCCAAGACCGACGGCTGGGGCAACGGCGCGGGTGCGACGGCGAACGATGCCGGCCGGCGACGGCGACGGCGACGACGGAGGAAGGCCAAATCCAAATCGCGAGGAGCGAGGGAGGGTGCGGAGGAATCCTTCGCGAGAGAAGTGAGGGCTTGCGGGGGGCGACAACTTTGATTGGAGAGGAGATTATGTTTCCTTCAACGTCGCTGCAGGCCGCGACGCCTTCCTTCGACGTCGCTGCGGGCCGCGATTCCTTCGGCGTCACTCCTTGTCATATCGCAAGGGAGGGGAGGGGAGGGTGACCCCGCAGACGCGACGTACGCGCCTTCCTTCGGCGTCGCTGCGGGTCGGTATCGCAAGCGAGGGGAGGGAAGGGCGACCCCAAGACAGTATCGCACGGTGGGTGGGGGGCGGTGATTGCGGCTTTCTGTTTTTAGAGCGACTTGCACGCGGACGGGAGGCGGGGATCGCAGGGGGAGGGGCGGACCGACGATTGTCGCACGAAATGGTGGTCTTACTTTCTTTCTTTTTAGTTGTAGGAGATTGTAAGTATGTGGCAAGGTTTTGATTTTTGTAAACTCTGAATGGCAGGATATGATTGATTGTCATCATGCAGTTGGATTTTCACTGACAGTTCCGATAACTGCTGAACAGAAGACCATAAGATACGTTCCCTGGTTCCCATAATCGAGAAAAAAGACATTATTTTAGTTTCAGGTACTCCACATGCAAATTTGTTTTATGCACACGTACATTAATTTTTTTCAGAAATTTTAATTTTAGAAGCATTTTGAAGTTCCATCATGGTTATTAGTAATTTGGTCGGAATTGGTGTCCATCTTCAGCTCCTTGCATATAATAGGTAGGGACAGAAAGCTGAAACCGCTGGAATTCCGCACTTGTGAATTTTTCACCCCGCTTGCTTTTCTTATTATTATCACCATGAAGGCTGCTGCAACTGGACGGCTTCTTCTGCTGGTGCTCATGGCTTGCAGCCTGCATGCTGTCACCTGCAGCAGCAGCAACACCACTCCTGGGAACCAAACAGATCGACTATCACTGCTTGAATTCAAGAACTCGATCAGTTTGGATCCACAACAAGCATTGGCTTCTTGGAATGACAGCACTCATTTCTGCAATTGGGAAGGTGTCACCTGCAGGACGACGAGCAACCGTGTCACTAATCTTGACCTTGGAAATAGAGGTTTAGTCGGCCAAATATCTCCTTCGCTAGGAAACCTGACATTCCTGAAACACCTGTTCCTAGCAACAAATAGATTCAGTGGACAAATCCCAGCATCCCTTGGCCAGTTGCATCGCCTCCAAATCCTCTACTTGAGTAACAACACGTTACATGGATTTATACCAACATTTGAAAACTGCTCCAATCTGGAAGAACTTTGGCTCAATGGGAACAATCTCATTGGAGGGTTTCCAGGTCTTCCACTTGGACTTAAACACGTGGCGCTTGGATCTAATAATCTTTCAGGAACCATCCCTCCTTCTCTTGCCAATGTCACAACACTTAAGGGGTTAGGCTTCAATTACAATCACATTGAGGGAAACTTCCCACATGAGTTTGCCAACTTTCCGGAGCTACAGTTTCTGGGAGCTAGTGCCAGCAATTTGGTAGGTAGTTTTCCACAGGCCATCCTGAATCTTTCAACCTTCGTTACCTGGCCTCGGTAGCTCTCTACCCAACCTCCAAACGCTTGCAATAGAGAACAACTTTTTCCATGGCCACATCCCTTCCTCGCTGGCCAGTGCATCGGATCTGCGCATTATTGATATGTCAAACAACAGTTTCACTGGGGTGGTCCCTAGTTCCATTGGTAAACTTCACAATCTCTACCTTCTGAATCTTGAGTTCAATAAACTTAAAGCTCGTAACAGTCAAGACTGGGAGTTTGTTTACAGCTTAGGCAACTGTACTAATCTACAAACATTGTCATTATTTTGCAATCAGCTAGAAGGCCACGTACCAACTTCATTAGGTAACCTTTCTGTTAAACTGCGGACATTAATACTGGGGAACAATTAATTATCATGTGGCTTTCCTTCTGGCATGGCAAACCTTCGCAACCTGATGTGGTTAGGACTACATGGGAATCAATTTACGGGCAATGTCCCAGAATGGCTAGGAACTCTAAACAGTTTACAGGTGATGCGTTTAGAAAACAACAATTTCGCAGGGTTTATCGCATCGTCCCTTTCAAACTTGTCTCAGTTGTCATATCTCGGACTTCAATCCAACAAACTGGAAGGGCATTTGACGGCAAGCATAGGAAATCTTCAAAATCTTCAAGTATGTAACTTCTCAAATAACCTTCTTCATGGTGGTATTCGCAAAGAGATGTTTGGAATTCCAGCAATCCTTCGTATTGATTTATCTTCAAACCACCTGCACGGGCAACTTCCTAATGAAATAGGCAATGCCAAGGTGCTCCGATATTTGAATATTTCATCAAATATGCTGTTTGGTGACATTCCGACCACTATAGGTAAATGTGAATACTGTTATCCCACAGGATCACCGCCTTAGGTGAATCGACCACATACCAGTCTTGTCGACCACAGCCGAGCACGACCGAGGTTGTCCGACCACACACACTATAACTAGAGGTAGAAGAAGAGGGAGAACTGAGCATACACACACAGTACAAGCACCGGCATTGGTCCGAGCCTTGTATAAGAGATGGCAAATCTAAACTCTCTTTATTGAGTTGCAGTGGCAAACTATATATACAACTCTATCCATCTAGTCCTAGTACAGTTGCCCTACTGCAATAGTGACTAGATAACACAGCAGGACTGACCTCTGCGCCTGTTCCTGCACGTGGCTACAGTGCGGCAGGTGAGCCGTTCGGCGCCTGCCTCTACAGCGGCTACAGTACCACAGCAGAGGCCAGTTTGGAGCCGCATTCCTTTGCTATGTGTTCACACAAGGAAGCAGTAGATTATCTAACTATTCTTCCCCTAATCCTACTGCTATCCCTTGTATCCCCTCCATACCGATCATCTCCTTCAGCTTCGTGACTCGAAGACGTCCGAGCGGCTTGGTGAGGACGTCCGTGAGTTGCCGACCAGTTTCAACGAACTCGATGACGATCTGCCCTTCATCGACATAGTCCCTGATGAAGTGAAACTTCACGTTGATGTGCTTGCTCTGGTCGTGTAGAACCAGATTCTTCGCGAGGGCGATGGCGAGCTAGTTGTCCACCATCAGTGCTCGTGGGTGAGTTTCCACGCCAGTCAGCTCGCCCAGAAGCCGACGCAGCCACACAACTTGGCATGCCGTTGTGGCCGCCGCTACGTACTCTGCTTCACACGTAGATAGCGTCACCACCTTCTGTTTCAGTGACAGCCATGAAATTGGAGCCGACCAGAGAAAGACGAACACTACAGAGGTGCTCCATCGTCCGTCGATGTCCCCCGCCAAGTCTGCATCGCTGAACACAATGAGCTGCAGCCTACTCCGGCCGATCTTGGGAAAGATGATCCCCTGATCCACCATCCCCTTAACGTAGCGCAATAGCCGCTTCACCGTAGCCCAGTGATCCTCTTTGGGATCCTTCATGAAGCGACTGACATAGCCCACGGCGAACGCAATGTCCGGCCTCGTGTGGACTAGGTAGCGTAGACCGCCGACGATGCGCCGATAGAGTGTTGCATCCACCTTCGCCGCGGTGCTGGCCTTCGTCAGCTTCAGCCGCTCCTCCATCGGAGTCACGCATGGCTTGCACTCAGCCATGCCACTCCGCTCCAATAGCTTGGAGGCATACGCGCTCTGACCGAGCATGAGTTCCTCCTTCCCCTGTCTCACCTTGATGCCGAGGTAGTAGGAGAGTACGCCGAGATCGTTCATTCGAAAACGAGCCACCATCTCGCGCTTGAAGCTGTTGATGTCCTCCGTGCGCACGCCGGTGACAATTAAGTCATCCACATACAGGCCGACGACGAGCTCCTCCTTCCCCCGTCGCCGCGTGTAGAGCGCGTGCTCGGTTGCGCACTGTTGAAACCCAAGCTCGCCTAGCATGGCGTCAAGCTTGGAGTTCCATGCTCGTGGGGCCTACTATAGCCCGTAGAGCAACTTGCGTAGTTGGAGCACCCTGTGCTCCTCTCCTTTGATGGCGAAAGCTAGAGGTTGCCTGATGAAGACCGTCTCCGCCAGCTCGCCATTGAGGAAGGCCGATTTAACGTTCAAGTGATGGACGCGCCAGTCCTTTGCTGCTGCCAAGGCTAGTAACAAACGAACGGACTCCATGCGCGCTACTGGCGCAAAGACTTCCTTGAAGTTGATGCCCTCGCGCTGAACAAAGCCTCGGGTGATGAGGCGCGCCTTGTGCTTGACAATGGCGCCGAGCTCGTCCTGCTTGACCTTGTACACCCACTTCAGGCTAATCGGACGGCATCCTAGAGGTGAATCGATGAGCTGCCATGTCTTGTTTTCCTCGATCGCCTTCACTCCTCCAGCATCGCCCGTTGCCAGTTTTCGTCGCGCTCGGCCAGCGCGAACATGGGTGGTTTCTCTGCACTGACGAGCAGCAGCTCTTGATCATTGAGCAGTCGACCAACCAGGCCTGAGGGGCCTATGCCACTGACGATGTCATCTAGCCTACGGAACCGCACCTCCTCACTTTCATGGAAGGCATCCACGAACTCAGTGATGTCACTTGGAGGTGAGGCGAACTCGATCGGCATTGATGGAGTTCCCTGTTCCGCCAGAGTGCTCGGCACCCCAGTTGCAGTGCTCGGCACTACTTCTAGATAGCTCGTCATTACTCCTACAGTGCTCGGTGAAACAACCCTGATTTCCGCGAAGGGAAATCCACAGAGTCGAAGTGTAATAAGACCGCTGTAGATCATATTACCCAGATTCCAGTCGAATATCACATCCATACAACGATAATATCAGAGTACAAATAGTGCAGAAGTACATAGATTATTACATCGCCGCATTGGCGGAATCAAAAGTTGCATTCATTCAGAACAGCTTGAAGATAGGATCGTCAAACTCGAGCGTAGGAACGAACCCCTCAACCGTCAAACTCCTCGGAGCTATACTCCTCAGCAGAACCTATGTGCCAAAATTTATCAGTACGATTTGTACTGGCCACTCCCAACCCTATGAGCATTGCTTTGTGGAAATTGGATGCAAATTGGATGTAATAAAGAGGAACCTATAAGGCTGGGGTTTCCTATGCATTAGTAAATCAAGTATATAATAATAGTTGGTCAAGTTTTAACTCCATTCACACACCCATTCCACCCCATTCCCATTCCAAAGCCAGGTTTCGATCCTGGGATCGATAAACCACCATCTCCACACTATCACCATACCACAGGCATACCATCGCTTAGTCGACAGGCCAACTCCCTCTCGGCACTGTCTCAAGGCCCGTAGCCCCTGGCTACGTCCGAACACTCACTCCTAGGTGAGAAAAGAAGGACTCATTTCACTATCTAGTTTAAGCGAAACCCAGGAAAGGTCCATTGCCGATGAGTCGGCATATGTATCGATCGATCAACCATACACTCTGTAGAGGTTTTACATAACCACAAGATCTGCCTTCCTCGCTGACCGTCGTCAACTGGGCTGATTCTGGCCGCTTGCTAGCCTAGGATAATGCCACTCTACCATTCAGCCCTGGTACACCCTAAGTCTGGTCTGGGGTGGCTGAAACTGTGAGTCATGAGCTGGGTCCACAAGGTCTCCATGAAGTCTCGGAAGGGTGTGGGGGGAATCCTCCACGCCCCGTACCTCCTTACACTATCCGCTATCAACCTAGTAGTAGTGGCAATATCCTACCAAGTAGTCCGGCCGTCCCGCACCATATAGGGCGAGTGGTACGTAAGGCTTCCCGGTGAATCTGAGTACTAGTAAGTCCTTAGGGATGACCAAGACAGAATGTCTCCATCAAGGTTTCCATTTACCGTGCCACCACAGCACCTCCACCCTGGGCTCCTCCCATCACAGGTTCACACCCAGGGTCACCTCATATACCATTTACCCACCACAGGTATCCATTCCAGGGGTGCCCAGGTAGCACCCCACGGCAAGACATGCCCTAGGCTCGTCATATAGTCCAACTTGGTCGACACAACCCTCACCCTCCACGCACCTAAGTCACACATGCAGCACTCTCCCCATGGTCCAGATAACACCAATTTCCACCACGCATCAATATAGTGCAAGCGTAGTAGAAGTAATAAGCGATGAAATGTAATAGCAAGCGTGTGACTAGCCTATCAGCAGGGTGAGCAGGGGTAAGGTTGCGTCAAGGTAAAGGCCATCAAGAAGACATACTACCATGCAAGTCCTACCATAATGTGATCATGACAATAAAGTAAGCACTAGCGTTTCTATATTAGCCATGCGTAATAGGTGCTACGAGATTGGGTGGGATGTGGCACCTTCAGTGTAGTTGTCTCCGTACTCCTCACGGTACTCTCGGTCCTCGTCCGTCCGGTTCTCCTCTGTGTCCTGCAAACGACCGCATTATAGTCGCGTTAGCGACGTCTATAGAATAGCACAAAGAAGCAATGAAAATTCAAAAGAACTAAATGCACTCAAGCATGGGTCCATTGCATAGAGCTCGATTTTAGATGAATTTTGGTCCTAGTTTCGTATTTTTCTGAGGTCATATGAATTAGTTATGAATTTCCGAAGATTTAATCCATTTCAGAAA